CGAGGTGGTTATAAAAGGCTCCTACCCACCAGGAACGAGGTATGCTAACTTTGCGCTATCTGGTTTATCTTGCCTTTGAAGTATTCTAACTTGAGCTTCGGAGCCTTTACGCCGGGTTCTCCCCGGAGCTTCTCTTCTCCTTCCATTTCAGGTCCCTGTTACTCAGTTCAGACACAAGATCATTGACAGCTAAGATTGGCCAGATTGTGCTTCATCAGATATATTGCTCTCTTTGTTTTAAGTGTTGGACTCCTTTGAATGTAAAGTAAAAGAGAGGCCATAGAAGAAATTGCCGGCCGGTTAGGGAGGAGTCAACTCAACTGGGTTATGCTTAGGCTCGGAAAATATCGTCTAATGCCAGAATTTTAGCTTACAAAACAGTGCAGTAGCTGTGCCTTTGATTTCTCGTCCAAGTAGGTATTGAAATTTTTATTACTTGCTTGAGTTTTTCAATACTCGAAATCACCTTGACACTAGAAGAAGACGCAATATATGAGACAGAAGCGTGTGAGGATCTTTTTGTTTTCTTTTTATGAGTTTGTTCCATCAACCCAAACTCTCAATTTGTTGACCCACTGAACAACATAATTGGATCTTTCAAGCAATTTAACAAGTAATTGAATTACATTCACATAATCACATCTGACTCTATCTTGGGACGGTTCTATAGCACAACAGACTTGTTTTCATGGCAACCTGTGGATGATATACATCTTCCCCATCATGTATGTGAAGTAAATTTCGAGAATATTTAACGACAGCCAACCCAATACCCTCAAATGGCATGCACCTGCTGCTAAGATAGATTCTTCATGATTAATATTTTCTAACATTCTTCGCCTGTGCAACTGTTGTCTTGAGAGAGTGATCATGAATAGTTGAGACACATCAATTAATTTCTGAGCTCTTCCTTCGTAATGACGGTGCCATTTCGTAAAGTCAACAGACCTATAGTATCGCCATAACTTGCAAATCACTTCCTCCTCGGAGTATCAAGACGGAAGTAGGGGTGATCATTTCAGTCCGACCCGGCCTGAATCACACAAATCCGGTTCGGAAATTCTGGGCTTGGGCCTGAGTTTTATGTTCAGGCCCGGCTCGGGCCCAAGCCCACATTAGGCTCGCAAATTTTAGGACTTGGCTTGGGTTTAATATTTTAAGTCCGGCCCGATCAGTATATATTTAAACTTACACATTTTGTATATACATGTATACTTATTATATTATATATTTTGTATATAAATATTATAATATGACATGTACAATTTATATTATATGTAATATTTTATATTATATAATGTATAAAATAAGTTTATATGCATGTTATGTCATTAAATATATAGACGTAATATTTTATATATGAGTGATATTGGTTCGGAATTAGGCCTGGCACGGCTCAGGCCCATATAGACTTGGGCTAGGGCTTATTTTTCAGGCCTGAAACCCCGGGCCAGGCCGGGCCCAGGCCTAAGCTATTGTCCTTATCATAAGTGCAAAGCTTGGCCTGGCCCATAATCACCCCTAGACAGAAGTCTTCGTGCCATTTAATCAACTGTGGTTCGGGATAGTCTGGTCTGCTTGTGCACCTCTTCTCTGCTGGCAAGTAGCGGCCTCCTCTGGTTCAGGTTGAACTCCAGCTCTTGTTTGTGACTGGATGGGCTCACTTGAGATTTCCTACTCACTTTTCCTACTTATTCTCTACCCACCGTGAATTAGATATCTTTTATAAATTGAGAGATGTATAGCTGCAATTCACGATGAATAGAAAGTGAATAGAAAATCTAGGCTTGGATGGGCTACATACCTACATGTTACAACGTGAGTTATACTTCCATCTGCGTTGTAACACGTAGGTGGTTTTAAATGACGTACGAAATTCATTGTTTATTTTCTCAACATTTTTTCAACCCAAAAAAAATAAAAGAAATATTTTAAGCTTAGCTGCCAAGCTTTGTTGTTGATGAATTGGTCTAACTTGACAAAAGTACAAGTGGATTATTATGTATCCTAATAAAGAAACTTATACTGTATTAATTAATATAAAGCCATTTTGACAAAAGGTGATACGTTATTACACCAATTTGATATAATTTTGTAATCTACTTATAACTTAAATCTTAGGCTCGTTAAGCTTAAACTTGTAGAAATACAAATGAAATAGTGTGTACTGTAATAAACTCATACGGTACAGACCGTATTACTCAATGTAAAGCTAAATTAAAAAAAGTTATTACACCAATTATATGTAACCTTGTAATTCATTCATAACCTTTCATAACCTCAAACTTAGACATGTAGAAATATAAGTGGGCTCAACTGTATTCACATGAAGAAACTTGGGGACCATTTGGTTCATAGATTGAATTGGTTTTGGAATGGTCTATTCCTATGGTTTGATTAGTTTAGATAGGAATTGGAATCAATTAGGATGGGTTTCATTCCCAAGGGAGGAGGGAAATGGTCATTCCCTCATATGAAAATGAGAAAGGGTTAACAATTAAAAAATGTCCCGAAAGCGAAACAGTTTTGGCCATCAGTTTTCGAGTTGATGGTTCGATTGTCCGATTCGAACGAATGGCCTGTTTTGACATAAAAATTAAAAAAAATAATTAAATAATTAAAATAAAAAATGACAAAAAATCGTTGAACAGGTTGACGGTTCAACCGCCTTGGTCAACAGGTCGTTGACCGATTCAAGGATTTTTGGCTAGGAACTGGGTTTGAGGTAAAACATAACCGGTTGTCTAGATGGTTCTCAGGCTGAATGGTCTTACTGTCCAAGTCAACAACAGTTCAAAATCCATGAATAAACTTAAAGCTTTTGTTTTATTTTTTAAGTTAAAAAAATGTAGAGAAAATAAATAACGGAAGTTAACATTATTGTCTTTTACTTTTTTTGTACGTCACTTAAACCATCTACGTGTTACAACGCGGATGGAAGTGCAGTCCGCGTTGTAACATGTAGACGTGTAGCCGAGTTAGTCTTTGGGGAGTCTTTGTTTCTATCGTTTGTTTATTTTTGTCAAAAAAGACGTAATGTTTTATTGCCATCGACTGTTTTGTTTCACACTAAAAAGAAATGGGAGATTTCTTAAAGTACCCCTAAGATTTAGAAAATTGACTAACTCTACCCTTATGTTATGTTTGGTTTAAAGGAAAGAATAGGGAAATGAAGGGAAATGCAGGGAAATTTATACAAGATTTGTAAAGGTTTCCCTTCATTTCATTTCTTTTCCCTACTTTTTCCTTCAAACTAAACATAGCCTTATTATTTATATGTTGTCTTAAAGTATCCTCAAGGTTTTTGACAATTATCATCGCATTAAGTACTAACAGAAAAAAACAAAATATTGAATTTGCTCTTTACTATTCTTCAAATTTTTAAAATAAAACCCAACTGACGAAAATCTTCAAAAACCGTAAAGATGAAGAAGAACTAATTTGCTCGATCAATCTTGGTCTGAAGGGGAAAGACTCGTACAGAAATAACAGGAATACCCCCTTTCAAAGACTCATGTGAGCCTATAAAACAAGAACGATAAGTCAATTGGCGATTATCAGCTACAGAGCTACTTCCCTAAGAATATTCATGCTCGCTTGTGAAACTATATCTAGGTCATTATTATTTTATTATAATTTTAAAAAATCTTGTTTTATTAAACTGGGTCTAGGTCGACAGTTCGTTCAAGCAGTGTAAGTGTGGAACAGGTAGGTGTGGATAAGACAGTCCCCTCAAGGACTTTGGAGGTCATGGACTCATGGGAATCGATTGTCTTATCCGCCACAACATTGCGGTGGATGTCGTAGGCACGGTGGATGTCGTAGGCATATTAGGTAAGCATAATAAGTGAGCACATAATAGTTGTATGATACATGTCCTAGTTAATGTGTTATTATCTATTATTTTATTATTTTTATCAAAATAATTAAAAATAAAAAATAATGAAAAATGAAAACCTAAATGTGTTGAGAGTTGAGACTCATTTACGTTTTTTTTTTCATTGTTTTTATTTTTAATTATTTTAACAAAGATAATAAAATAATAGATAATTTCTAATGGAACAAAAATATCTGAATGAAAGGCACGTTAACTAGGACATATAGCTATTACGTGTCCACTCATTGTGCTTACCTAACATGCTTACTATATCCGGACCCTAACTAACCACCTTCAAATACACAATCTTTCTTAATTGTTGAGACTGTTTCCTACTTTCCTTCGTTAGGTCACTTGGGTTTTTTGAGAATTTCATCAACTTTTTTGGTGTTAAAAAATAAGTTAAATCTTGAAACATAGCAGAAGAATGGAGGCCACACGTGGGGAGCTCCAGCTTCACTTTTTAGTTTATACAAGTTCATGAGAAGAGATTCCAAAACCTGAAATCTCGACTTATATGAAACGAACAGTATATGTATCTGCAAATTGGATTTTCTTTTACCAAATTTAGTGAGAATATTCAGAGAATTATATGATCTTTATTTTTTGCAGAAATATTGATCACATCTGAAACATTTGCTAGCATGGGAGGCTGAGGCGGCGAGCTGGAGCCACAGACGACATTGTAGGTGTCTATAAGATTCAGAGTCTGTGTGGTTTGTGTTGATCAAGAGTTTGATTGCAAACAAAAAGTTAGGATTCGAGCCAGATCTACAATGGCAGCGGTATAAATTGTTGCAAAATAGGAGAGAATTCCAGATGTCAAAACATGATGGAAGATAGAAGGAAGATGAAGAGCAAGTCGGGTTTGAGTTTGAATAATTGAAGTGAACCTACGAAAAAAAGGGTTATAACAGAGGTGGTGTTCCCAGGGTCAGCAGATTTTATGTGGAAGATAAGGCTCAATTCGGGACTGAAGAAGATCAATACGGGAACTTCTTCAGTGGGTGTTTCATGCAAATTGTCATTGATCGGGATGGTTAGAACATTTGGCCTATGAATTGTTTAGGTGATCGGTTCTGTTTTATTTCAAATCCAGTTTTGATTAAAAATCATTAAAAAAGTTAATAATTCGTTGACCTTGGTGGTCGAATCGTCAACCCGTTCAATAATTTTTTACTGTTTTTTTTTCTTTTTATTTTTAATTTATTTGTCAGAATAGACCGTCCATTCAAATCGGACGGTTAAACCATCAACCCAGAAATCGATGATCAAAACAGTTCTATTTCCGCATCGTTTTTTAAAATGTTGGTTTCATGTGTCTTAGAACACAACATAGTTTTTCGAATGAAGAAGATGATGACATAGTCTGTCGTGGAACACAGTATACTCAGCCTTCTTACCCACAAAAGGGTAATGTTAGGTTTTAAATAAAATTTATATTTCACATGATGTTACATGTGCACAGATTAAAGCGGTAATGGTGAGGATAGTCAATTATCAGAAAATTTAAGAATACTTTAAAAACGATAAGGGTAAAACTAATCAAATAAAAAAAAATAAAAATGTATTTCATTCGCTCCCCTACAAAAAAAATAAATAGACAAACAAAGCACTATCTCACCTACTGTGATCCTTTGGTCCTTTCTACGTTGGTCACACTCACAGCGAACTGAAGTTCCGGCGACTTTCACTGAAATCTTCTCTCTTCTCTTCTCATCGGTACTAAAACAAAGGGATGAAAGGAAAGGTCTTCAAGGCAAGTAAAGTAATCCATTAATAGTCGCACGTGAAAGGCATAGACACGCCTAAAATAACAGGTGGCATGCTTGTAAATTTGTTAATGTCACTATTAATTGCACCGCTTTGATGTTGTCTTCTTTTGATATAAATGGAGAATCTTTCGCCCTATCTTTCTATCTTCCAGCTGCATGGCCTCAACCTGCTGCTTGAAGGTTTTTCACAGTTTGTATTTTTGATTTCATTTTCCAAGCATGATATATACAACTTCAACAGAGAGTGAGAGAGCAAATGGGAAAAAAAAAAAATCCTCTTCTAGAGCATCATCTGTTATGTATGGGTTGGGTTTGAGTTTTTGGGTTATGGGATATTGAACTAAAAAACTTAAAATCCAAAGTAAATTTAGATTGGACTTGAGTTGAAGCCTCAGATAGCTCAAGTTTGACCCAATCTGGCCGAATCTGAATCTGCTAAAAGAATATATATGTGTATTATATTTATATAGAAATATCTTTTTTTCTAATTATATATGTAATACTTATATATATATATATTTGTAAATAACATTAATACATATTTTTTTATTAATTATAGTCTTAAATTGGGTCATAAAGTGCAATAAAAGATAATTACACTATACAAATATATATAAATTCTTTCAAACTCAACCAACCCACCAAGCCCAATTAACCTGATCTGGCCCAGCCCAAATCTAAACCCTACCTTTGTGTAGGTGCTTTATATAATGCATTTTTATTTTATTCTTAATTTTAATTTTTATAAATATTTTTATATTATTTAATAAAGAAAATAAATAAGTTCCTAAAAGCACCTTTAAATAAATGTACCAAAACCTTCTCAATACAATACAATACAATACAATACAATACTATATGCTCTATAGGAGAACCTTGGACTTGTTAAATCAGACCCAAGCCCAAGATTTTCACCTTTGGGGTTGAGCCTGGTTTACCTTCAACCCTAACCCTACCCACCCCGCCCGAGTTGCACGCCTAAGTACGATTACGGAGTCATATTTTCTGAGGAACCAAATTATTTGATTAGTGGGTTAATATTTTATTTGAAAATTTGAATTAAAGCCAAATGAGTGCAAGCCGACTCGAACTACTAGTAGTAGTCATCGTCGTCGTCGACATACGTCTATACACAATGAGCCGATTGGTCAGGTTTATTATTTTAGTATTACCATAAAGCGCCACATCAGCCGATTGGTCCCACTTATGGATGCGAGATGCTACGTTGCTTCTTAGCCTTTCCCTCATAGAAAGTGATGCCCATTTTGACGCCTCCCTTCTTCCCATAGCTTTGTATATACAAGTGTACACAGGGAAAAGGGCCGAAATAGAAAAATAAATAAGCAAAAATTTCTACAATGACGTCCTCGACAACAACACAAGATCACCACCACGACGACGACTACTGCATCAAATCTCGTCCATCTATTCTCATGATAAGGCTAGATCGATGGTCAGTTAAACGACATTCATTCGTTGCATCAACCCAATATGCCACCCCCTCCCCGTAGCTAAATATATAAAAACTCAATATGAAAGAGACTGATGAACTTCATTTGGGTTTCATTTCGCATGCATTTAGCCTTCATTTAACGTTTATTTAAGGAGCATCGGGGATGCCATGGTTAGAGCTCAGGAAGAAACGGCGAGTAGGTTCGCATCCTCAGCGTTGCCGATTTACTCTCCCAAAACTCCTCCTCCCTCCCTAACTAGCTACCCACCAGCCTATACCTAGCATTCCCTGGGATTGATCGATCGATCGATCACTTCACCGGCGTTGAACTGTGAATTATGGCCCCAGAAGTGCCAGTCGACACCTTCAGAGGCACCGGTGGGAAGGTTGCGACCCTTAACAGTAGGGCCTACTCAAAGAGGGCCTACGTGACGTTCCTGGCCGGTAACGGGGACTACGTCAAGGGAGTTGTTGGATTGGCCAAGGGTCTTCGCAAGGTGAAGAGTGCGTACCCGCTGGTGGTGGCCATCTTGCCAGATGTCCCCGAAGAACACCGTCAGATCTTGAGGTCTCAAGGTTGCATTGTCCGTGAGATCGAGCCCATCTACCCGCCTGAGAACCAAATCCAGTTCGCCATGGCTTACTATGTCATCAACTACTCCAAGCTACGTATATGGGATGTATGTTGAAAACGTAAATTAAATCACTCATTCACTATGATTTTGTTTGGGGTGAGTGATTAAATATGAAGTGGTAAATTAATTGTTTAAAAATGCAGTTTGAGGAGTACAGCAAGATGGTATATCTGGATGCAGATATTCAGGTGTATGACAACATAGACCACCTGTTTGACAGACCAGACGGCTTCTTCTACGCTGTGATGGACTGTTTTTGCGAGAAGACATGGAGTCACTCACCCCAGTACTCCATTGGATACTGCCAACAGTGCCCCGACAAGGTGACATGGCCCGCTGAGATGGGCTCTCCACCTCCTCTCTACTTCAACGCTGGGATGTTCGTATTCGAGCCTTCTCCTTTGACCTATGAAACCCTTCTTGAGACTCTGCAGATCACACCTCCAACGCCGTTTGCTGAGCAAGTGAGTACCAGAGTAATGAAATGGAACGTCTCTCATTCATTCATTCGTTCAATCAATCAGTCTACTTGATTAATTAACATTTTGTTTTTTCATGTCAGGATTTCCTCAACATGTTCTTCCAACACATTTACAAGCCTATTCCTCTGGTGTACAATCTGGTCCTGGCCATGCTCTGGCGCCACCCAGAGAACGTTGACCTCGACAAAGTCAAGGTGGTCCACTACTGTGCAGCGGTGAGCACCCATCAGAGCACTACATTTCCTCGTTCTCCAAATTTTAATTCTAAAGCTTAATGGGCTAAATTCTACTTGATTAATTCCATTCTATTTGTATAATAATTCTGTTGAGTGTTGTGAAAATAGGGATCCAAGCCATGGAGGTATACCGGAAAAGAAGCAAACATGGACAGAGAGGATATTAAGATGTTAGTGGCTAAATGGTGGGATATGTACAACGATGAGTCACTGGATTTCAAGTCGGACGACGCCGTTCCCAAGGGAGACACCTTCTCCAGAGCATCCCTCATGGCTACCATGCCCGAACCCGAGATGGCCTATATCCCTGCACCCTCTGCAGCTTGAGCAACGGTGTTAATCCTACATCTTTATGTTTCAGTTTGATGACACACCCTTACATAGACTCTCTTCCTTTTCAAACTTTTCAAGTAATATATTGTGTAGCAGGCAATTTGCTTTTAGTTTTTCTTTTCCTTTTTTATATGGATTGGAATTAATGTTCTCTTCACTAAATACGTTTGTTAATTGTTAGCATTTCGTTTTATTTGTACATGTGTGTCGTCCTTGTCTTTTCCCAGTTATTCACTCCTGAAAACAGATCTGCCTCGATGGTCAAAATAGTCTGATCAATCCCATTCTCTTGGACGATTGGCCTTCGCAAATGGAATCCTGATCACATACCAGAAACTGGCAAACAACAAACGAGCGGGCATGCAGAATGACAATCCAGATCATTCATTCTCTTGATCAGCCCGGAAACCAATCTAACTGCACATATTAAGTCAAGTACAAGGGCTGCAACTTGGGCTGGGCTGGCGGCCCCTACAAACCCAACGGCGTTTTTAATTACAGCATGCCATCTCTACACAAAAAATACATGCTATATGAATATGATTTATAACCACTATAAATTTGCTTTGTTCATTTGTTGTTTCACATCAGCCTCCCGCCACCCAAACTCAACAATACTTAATGGGCTAAATTCCAGCTCAGGCCCAGCCTATATCCAAAATGGGCTTCGTCTGACCTCAAAACCAACCCGACTTATACTCAGCAGCGTCCTTTTTCCTTTTATATTTTCAGTAGTTCGTGGGAAACCAGAAGTTCAAGACTATCACGTTGTCAAATATCATAATAAAAAAATATAAAAAAATGCTCATTGGACCACCTGTTCGAGCATCCAGTCCGTCCGAATTTAAGTATCTTACTCACTGGTAAAAAATTCAGCTTATAACCTTCCGCTTTTGTATCCAAAAAATCAAAAGTCAGTTTAAGACCTCATGAGTCCCAACTCCCAACACATTAGAGTCGGTGCAATAAAAGTGATATTCCACCAATCTCCGTTACAGTGACTGCATGATATATTTAATTTTATATTAAAATTAAGTAATAAAAAGTCCTTTTTAACGACATATACGTATGCAATTTTCACTATCACTGATGGATTAATCTTTGGAATCTATTTCTTTTCTATTTGTTTTTTTTTTTTTTTTAAATTAATTTGCATCTCCCAGATGGTGGAATTAATCTTATTCATTGAAAAGCAAGTAAAGGACAAAACGTTGGAAGGCCAAATATGATAAGATTAACAATTACATGAAAGAGATTCGGGTTCCGAATCTTCTAGTAACGAACCAATACCTTGAAATACCGTCTCATACTCTCCCAAAGTTTCTTAGAAAGTTCCAATCCTATATTAATTATCACATTAACAATAAGGCTTCATTTGGTTACACGTAAAAAAAAAAAAGAATTATATCGCCTTCCAAAATTATTATATTCAACAAAAGAACCAATATATTCTTAATTTTTTTTTTCTTTTTTTTTTTTTTACCTTGTCTCCATAGAGCAGGTTTTTTGTATCAAGTGTGACGAGAATAAAGCAAATTCGGCTACGGTATCTCCATGTTTTCATCCACAAAACGCAGTTAGAAGTGACAAACAGAAAAATACAAAGCTTCTTTGTTGCCAATTCAACCTCTACCTTTTTTTTTTATTATTATTATGTGGACTCAGTATTCGATGGTTGTGACATGCTTAACATGAAAATCCAGGGGGGAAAAAGCATGCCATCAGAACGTGGACGGTAACGCAAATTCCACGTCCGATATAAAGACATAACCAGGAAGCTGAGACATCTCCAGGATAAGAGTAATTAACATGATTTCATATATAAAAGAGATAAATCAACGAGACTAAGAATCTGAAAAAAAATGAGAGTTTAACACTACCATTTATAACCGCATAAAAGTAATTCAGGCTGCTTTTGGTTTCTAAGAAAATTATTGACAAAAGGAAAGTTGTAGGAAAGCCCTTCAACGATTTCATAGAATGACAAGGAACTTCCCAACGGGAAACAGCTTTCTCAGATACCAAACGCACCCTTTATGGAATTGAAAGGGCATGTGGCTTTGGTGTACTTCATTTATATGAAGATCTTCGAGATTGATTGAATTTGCTCTACTTCTGATGCATAAAATAGCATCTATCGTTGGAAATGGAGAAAAAAAACACCTTGTAACTGGGGATGTGTAAGTGCAAGGAGGTCTTCATAATGGGCTTTGGAATGTCAATTTGGTATTATTGTATAAGGCTTACTTTTGTAAAAGAAATGAATTATGAGCAAAGATTTGATTATAGATCCAAGATACTCACACCTTCCTCGCCTTGAAACTCTTCATCCTCTGGTTCATGAATGTTCTCTGCTTCAAAAAGGAAATCTGGAGCATTTCTGCTTTTCCGTGACTTTCTATCATTAATTTCTATAACAGCAATAATCTTTTCCTGAATGCAATCCTCAACTTCCTTTCCTTCGCCCATCTGTTGAGGCTGCAATCCAAGAAGAGATAGACATTCTCCTTGAAACTCCTTATCATTGGATAATAATATCAGATTGGATATTGTTCTTGCAAGATCCAGGGCATAACTGCAAATCTGCAGATAAAGGTCAATCAAGTGAAACTCTATGTCAATCCCCGAAAAAAAAAACGGAAAAAAAAGAAACATAGTTTTAGGAACTTCTAATGCCCACACCACAAATGCTAAAATGATTTTCTTGTTGTATAAACATGAAAAATGTCAGACTAATGCAAGTTGCAACTTTCAAGTAACCTCATTATTTATATGTACTAGTGGAACTTAATCTTTGTATATCTACTTTTGATTTCAATGATTTGATCAATAGTATACTTTTACCATTCTTTTCTACAGTAGATATAGAGATGAACCCCTTTTCAACATCTTGCATTTCATTCTCAGTCCATAGTTTTCTTATACATTGACTAACCTCAACAAATTGGTTATCCATAAACTGGTTAAGTTGTCAAAATCCTAAGAACATGGACAAAAGAAATATTGCATTAAAAAAATGCAACAACTTGATTACAATATGGACAAAACAATGTAGACCTCCAAATCAACTTTTGACAAATTGCAAAAAACAATGTGTCAAAAGGTATATAGTGTGTTGCCTGTAAGAGATTAATATTACTTGATTGTCATCTGCACAGTAAGAGCCTCAATGGTAGATTGATTAGATCTCTTTCATATTCAAAAAAAAAATGATCATCATCAACACCCTGTCCTTTTTTGTTTGTATTCAGGATAGGCATTCAATTCAGAAATCAACAGTGGCTTTGAGCACTGCGATTGAAGTTCAATTTTCATTCAGAGGCTGGTAAGGGCAAACCAAAGAGGAAAGTTACATAACTGATACTTCAATGGGTACCTCCAAATGAGATTTACCTTGACGGCATGTGCACTAAGGAGAGTTCCTTTATATCTTTCCTTCAAATTATCCAAGGCGAGCTTTACTGCTTTCTTGGCAAGATTTCTGTCAACTTGAGTCTTTTGCCATGTTCGTGGTATTTTGACCTTAGAGAAATGTCAAGGAATGGCTGAGCTCATTTTCACACGAGTGCAAACTCAGAACATCTTATGGTAGTTGTTGAGAAAAGATACAACATTAGTGATGTTTTCATTGTAAAGAAGGATATTTCTTATGGTAACAGTGAAGTACAATGTCAATATGGGTAGATGGTGGTAAATTCTCCCATTCTATCACTGCATGGCCGCTTTCCCCCACAACATATGTTTTTATGGTCAAACCATAATTTTCCCAGTCAATACTTCTCAAAGCATTTAAAGGTGACTGAGGGATCACACTTGGCAAGAAGTCTTGAAAATATATAACCTGGACAAAAATATTTCCCCCATCAGGTAATCCAAATTGACCACATAAATTAAACAAGGAATCAATTGTATCCAGAATCTGAGTACATGCATGGAATTAAACATAATGACAAACAAATTACAATCATTCTTACTCCCTCTGAGTAGATAAGATGTGTTCAAGTAGAGCTAACCTACTAAAACTCGTACTAGCCCCCCCCCAACAACAAAATAATCATCAAACCTGATTCTCAGAACTTTACTGATGGCCACCTAAGCAACCATACCATACATACCATATTCCATCTTACCCAGATTTTTCCCCTCTTTTTCTTTAAAAATCATTAAGAATGAAATGTGTTAAAAGAGGGAAATTATTGGAATGATAAAGAATTTATATATTTTTTGATAGTTATGATAAAGAATTTATATTCAGAATTAATAAAAACACATTTCTGATGCATTTTCACAACATTGTTTCTGCAAGATTAGTTGAAACTTTATTGTCAAGTACCCTACTCTAGAAGAACATTAAGTTTTAGATCCTCTTAGTAAGTTGAATTTAAGAAAAGATATTAAGATATTCCTATATTTGTTAGTGGTCATACTCAGGCATGTTTTTTAACTTGACAATTATTTTTTATTTTTCTTGAATCAGGAAAATATTGAATTTCCTTATCACATGGAAAAAGTGATTATAGAAAGATCAACACCCATGTACACCAAGGCACTGTAGAAAGGGATTGCACAGAAATACTAGAAGTATATATATCAGGAATCACAATTGAAGAGGCTTTAATTGTCAAAAAATCAATCTTATGGTATTCCCATTAAAAAACATTGATGAACTGATAGCCAAGAGCATAGAATGCTCACTGCCTTCCTTTCTATCACCTAAACTACAAATTGTTCTAAAAATTGAAAGCATTTCTTCCCCACTGCTTCCCTTTCTCACTTCAATTGGGCAGTTCTTGTTCTAAAAACTGTGAGCATTTCTCCCTCTCCCTCCCCCAAAATGTTCCAAATATCTCCCATATGGCTTTTCCTCTTCTGTTCAATCCTTCCAAGTGCCATCGAAGAAAGCTTCAGCATAGCTGGGAAGCATTCCTTCATTCCAAAAGTTCCAACCAAAGGAACCTCATCCACAGTTGATTGGACAGATTGCCATGGATACAGAGGCGAATTTCTATCTCCATGATTTCTAGGTCCAACTCCACTCCTCTCCTGGTTAAAGAGGCGAGTTTCTATCTCCATGATTGTCAAGCTGCTTGAAGAAGAATTGGTTGTGAAGGATCCTGATTTGCCCCATAGCCAGAACTATTTCTGATTCTCCTTTTATAAATTAAAAATGAGTAGACCTGAGCTACAAACTTCGTGTTTCAATGAATACTTCTTATTTTCTTCCTGTTTTCCTTTTCATGCCTTTCAACATTTTTTATCAAAAACAGCAATTAAAATTTATTAACATGGATGCGAACAGCCCAATACTGCTCTGTGCACTTTTCCTATCTCAGGGTATGGATAAAACACATTTCTGATGCAATTTGGTTACATTGTTTCATGCAAAAATTTTGGATACTGCTTGTCCAGTACAAAGAAACTGTCATTACACTAGTTAAGTTGGGGGATTTATCCCATTCATAAGCTGCTTCTACTAAGTACCTGCTTCTGCAAAGTCTGATTGTCCAATAATTTATACTAATATTGCTTTAGATGGTGCATTTCCAAGTAGATCCACCCAATTTTTGGACTTTATTGGGGCTTAAATATACATATGCTCAGTTTGGACAAGTATCACTTATGCAGAATGGTTAGGATAAAAGTCTTACTGAGGTGTACCTGGTAATTATGAGAGAAAAATATTCAGATCTGAAATAGAGAAGAAAAAGAGGGAAAAAAGATAAGGAAGTTCACATCTTTAAAGAGTAAGAGAGAGAGAGAGCTGGAAATAACTCTTACCTGCATGTAAGATGTAACTTAACAAGCTTCTATTTGTGATGTAGGACCAGCTCAGTTCTAGTCCTTAGAGAATGTTGAATGTTTGTTGATCAGAATTTTATGTTTGTTGATGGCTGTAATGGCTTCTTGAAGGAATAAGAGAGAAAATAGGTGTAGAAATAAGAGAGAAAATACCTGGAATCACTCACAGGGTGCCTAGAATCACTCACCATAGTTAGCATAAGCTGAAGAAAACTCACTAAAATTCATTGCCTTTTGTGTAAAACTTCCATGCATATTTATAGACTCTAAACTCATGATAATCCTAGGAGTTAAACTGTTAGACTCATAATAGTCTTAGGAGTCAAACTGTTAGACTCAATAATCCTAGTAGGACTCAAACTAAGTTGTCATACCCTATTTCAATACAAAGAAGACTCAATAAATCTAAGCCTACTTATGCAATGACTCTGAAATTTTAAACATAAACAAACTATAACTAGACAAATTAAACCCTACCATTGGACCCTGCAGAAAATTTCAAATGACAAAAACACCCCTACTGTCCATAAAATATAGAAATACATAAAATTTCATAAAATTCCAATTTTGACTCTTCAGCTCCTGCATCAATTTGCATATCCAATTTTTGTGTTTGAAGTCAAGAAAATAGAGGATCTACCTTCTCCACTGAACTGTTGCTGATTCTTTGTCTTTTTGTCTATTTCTGACATATATCCAATTAAGTTGGTGCCTTCAATTATACCTCATCCAATTTAGCCACTTTAATTTATTTTTATATTTATCATCATCTTCATCACCATTATCATTGTCCCTGTGCTGTGGGTTGCCTATGTAAAATAATAACAGTAAACCTATTTGATTTTCATCTCTTGATATACTTTGTTTAAATAAAGAAAGAATAGCCTAAATTTGGCTAGTGGCTTTGCTAAATCACTCAAAATTGTGTGTGCACTTTTCTTTTTTTTTTTTTTTGGGGGGGGGGGGGTGCAAATCACTTTGATCTACTAAATGGTACTTTACCTTTTAATAATAATGTTTCGAGAATTCTGTGCTAGATAAAAGAAGACATCAAGGATGAATTAAATCATAAATATGTAAACAGACCAAAATACAATAAAAGAAATTCCAGCAGCACAAAATTAACCTTTGTTGTACTGCATTCCCTCAAGCAGGAAAGACTTGATGCATCAGGTAATTCCCTAAATATAACCACAGCTTCCATCAACTGCCCTGTACTTGCAAGACTGTCAGAGCTGCATGCCACTCCACTTCCAACCTTCAAATGTTCTCTGATCAAAGAAGTTTTAGCTTAATACTGTAGATCTAAGTGAACAATAGGTAATACTGTATACAACTTTTTGAAACTAACAGATACATATCCAAGCATGATAATAACAAGATTCCAAATGTAACTGATAACCATATTGACAAAAATTATTAAGAACCACAAAAAGGATTGCAAATGCACTACACTAATGCTATTAGTAAGGATCCAAAAAGAGAATGGCATTAAACAGATAGCTCCCAAAAAGTTGGACGGTTTAATGTTTGTGGTTCAAATTTTAAGAGTTCAACACAGTTGACAAAATTGCTATTTCTAGACTTTGTGTCTGGAGAGGTGAATGGTCATCCAATGGACCAGAGATTCTTGGAAGTGAGAGAGAGAGAGAGAGAGAGCAAGCTAGAATAGTGATCTAAAACTCAGAAATATACCTTCTTGACAAGCAAGCTGGGCATTGTTTATCAAACATATTTCCATGCTTAAGAACATAATCTTGGAAGCCTAAAGCCAGACATTCAATATTTGACATAGGACAAGGTAAAAGGTTGTCATCCTTTGCCAAAAGAAAATTCTCTCTTGATCCAGTCATTCGTTCCACCACCAATTCAACTGCAACTTTCTGGAAAGATAAAATATGGTGAATTTATTATGTATCAGTTGTAGTTTGACCCAAAACTAATAAGAAATGGAATTAAACCTAAAATAATTCCATGTGCAGAAAAATCATGTGCTGGAACTTTTAGTATGGTATAGGAATGAAAAGGATAATTCAAATTATAAGCAATCAAAAGCCAACTGTTTCACAATACTTTTTCAGAATTAAATACTAGAAAGATTTTTAGCATCCTTTATACACTCTTTAGGTACAGAAAAATGAGGATATGTTTATTCAGTTATCAAATAATCAGGAGATAGATTGAGATAATGACAATATCATCTGGTATGCTAATCTCATGTATTTACTTTTAGAGTTTTAGTTTTCTAAATTTTCTTTTCCAGTATCTATAATATCATACCAAACTCAATGAAATTTCGAATTTTTACAAAATACCTTAGACTATATTTGGTTTGATAGAAAATAAGTGAGAAACAGAAAGTTGAGGGGAAGCTCTTAAGGAATTTCACAAAATTTGTTATGAACATTTCCACAACTTTCTGTTTCTCTATTATTTTCTATCAAATCAAAGAGAGCCATATAGTAGGAGTTGTTAAAATATACTAGTGCAAGACAAGAATAATTGTTAAATAATATCAGTTATACCTTTTGTTGATAAAACAAACAAGTTCTTTTGGAGCTAATAAAAGTATAGAATAAAATACTATACTAGTTAAAATGAGGAACCATGTATTTAGAAGCGTCCGTTTAATATATTAATTCCTAATTATTAGTTCCATACTATATCAGCTAAATTTGTGGCACACTTTTTACATGCTAGTGTCTCTTCAAGCTAAATTTGAGAGAGAAACACCAAAACTATGTTCTCTTAGATAAACTATCACGAGAAAAGACACATTCAACAATGCACAAAACATTGATATTTTCAGCTTTCCTTTTAATGTTATTAATTTTTCCTATATGTTATACAATATAAACTATTTTAGGTCCATGTCCACATGCCATGTTATGGATGTTGATGTGCTTGCTATGCACCAGACCACTTGGCAACAGTCTTCTCCAGAAACACATAGTTATCATCTCAGAGTCAAGGTTCGCAATTCTGGTTTCAATGGCTTCAGGTTAAGCCCAAAACTTTTCCAAACTCATTAGCATCAATAAGAAATTGCAAAGTCTTTATTAAGAAGAAAAAAATGCCTTTGTCAAACGTTGCCCTCAACTAGCCCTTTCTAATTGTCATCCTGATTGGAACTGTTTTCAAGGAGTATGAAGTTGCATTCATACAGGAACAATCAAAAAATTGTTTTAAAACAAGAATCACAACTTTTCTTCCAAGACAGATGGTGCAAGCTTACAGGCTTGATCGTCATGGGCCTCTCAAATCACAGAAGCACAGGACATAACACTCTGCTTACTGTATTTGCACTAAAACCCCTGTTTATTATGTCTCTCCTCTTGTGATTTGACATCTACTTGACAGACAAGGCCTTTGATACTAGCATTCCTTTCCAAAATAATGTTATTCATATTCAAAATAGCATCATCCATGTATGTCCATTTCCAAGACAGGTATAAAGCATTTTCCCACATCTTAGTTAGAAAGTTTCCTTCGGAATGTATTATAAATGTATATATGCATGAACAACTATTAGTTACACCAAGAGTAGTAGTAAACTTACAGGAACTTTTAAGATGAGCATCTGCAAAAACGACAATATGAGCCAAGTGGAGTGAGTAGAAAAATAATTTAAAAAGAGAATGGCATTTATTAGCCTTTCAAAGAGAGAAATACATTTGCATGTGACATAACCTAACAAGGATAATAATTCTTTGGGTTAAACAAATCTAAAAATAGAATTTATAGGATTAGAAGCATAATTAGATAGCCTTTTATAATGTAATACTATATTTGGAGATATGAATGGCGCATCAAATTAATTTTACCAAGGCTACATTTGGGAGTTCTTTTTGGCCTAATGGGCATTTGAAAAAGCCACTTTTTGAAATGGGATTTATTTTTGAAAAAGTGCCATTTTGGTGTTTGGCTGATCACCAGGTTTTTGGTTCAAAATAACTTTTTGCAGACATGAAAAGCTAAATGGATTTTTTTTCTGCTTTTTCAAACGTAAAAATATTGCGCTTGCCACCATGAGAAAAATACAATAAAACACACAATGTATTATGGTTATTGGATAATTGGATCAAGTCATTCAGAAAATAAAAAATAAAAGAAACAAAGAAATCAGAAGCATTGCACCAGAACCTGTTGAGGTCAGGATTTGACACCTTTTTGGTACAGGCAATCCACGCATCACTATTGATATGTCAAATATCTAAACTAGTCATGGAATTGCCTAATTAGATGGGAGGTTTGTGTGCACATGGTAGCCATTGTTGTTTTATTTACACAGTGATTTCTCAGATAACATCAGGGGTGCAGCATGCCAAACCTTTTGGAAGAAGCAAGTAATCCCTTCTACCAAGTCATCAATGCATTCCCAAGTGGACAGAGATACTTCAGTCCCACTAAAGAACAAAAAGAGAAAAAAAAAAAAAAAGATAAAGAAAAAGAAAAAGAAAAAGAAAAAGAAAAAGGAGCTCTGTGACAAGTTGGAGATAAGGCAGCCTAAATTTCGAAAGGTTTATTGCAAAATGCACACCTAAATTTCAAACCATTCTTCGTTGTTGAAGGTAACCTTGTCAGCCTTCTTGCAGCAGCACTTTCCTTGAAATTTAAATGGTAATGAAATATCTCATTGTCACTAATGCCTGAAAGTAACCAGATAATGGTGGTGAAAACTGAAGATGGATTGAGAAACAGAAACTCCTGTCACTAAGATGTCTATAACTTTTCAGACAACCTTTTTTCTTCCTTTTTCATTAAAATGGATTGAAACAGCCACTAGTTTGGTCTTCAGCTATTGACTTTGGTTTGGTTAATTCTAAACTTCTGGTCACCATCACAAACAAGTTTAGGACTAATTTTGTAACCAATCTGACTAGGCTTAAATAGCTGTTCACTTTAGCACCATATAGCACATAGTGGACCTGCTGCCTCTTGTTTGTGGCACTTTCTGTGCTAATTGATATAATTGTATGCTATAACTGCATACTAGATAAAAATAATATTCACATTAAAGAAAATAACTTACTTGTAGTGGTTATGAAAAGCATTCCATCTGCATGACAAAACAAGAATTAAGCTTAGCAATGCTCCTTTAGGTAAATTTCTTTCCGAAGTAAATGAAAGGAACTACAGATAATCCCCATCTTACCTCTTGAAGATGTCTCTACAGATCAAAACTACTTTTGTTTAATACAACTATCATGAATATTCTTCACAATTGAATATGGTATGGCATGCTCGTAACATTGAATCAGTTAGTAATCTCATGGACAGGGTACTAGCTCAAAAATCAATTTTAACATACGATGACAAGTATCATAAATATCAATGGATGTTATACTGTTAATATAATTAAGGCCGGTATTTCCATATAAATGGATAAATCATACAATGGAAATGAATTATGATAATCTACTGGACACACCCATCATTCTGCACCAACCAATTACGAGCATACAGAAACATCCATCACAAAACAAAACTTGATCATTACCTGTTTTTCATGACTTATTTGTTTTCACACTGTTATGTAAACTTTATCCGTAAAACTTACAATTTATAAACACAATGAACTTGATCACTCTCAAGCAAGGAAGAGAGGGTGTTTAACAAACTGTCATGTTTTAGATTTTACATAATCCAATAGTTCTTTTTGGGCCACATCAAATGCCATAGATATTTCGCTTATTCAATTATCTTGGTTAACACCAATAAGATAAAAGATTCCATTACGCTATTGTGCAATAGTTCATAAAGTGCGCCCAAATTCCATAGAATGTTCATGTGTTAGTTATAAAAACGACTAATTAGCATATGAGCAACCCTCACTTGCAGTTACTACTCACTATCCTTGTGATCATCAGATGGTACAGTGCATTGAGATCAACGTTGATTAAGAGAAAGTGATTTCAATCTCTAGGTGAACAAGTGGTATCAGATAAAAACATACTTGATAGTGATTAACAATCTCCATACCGAATCATTTCTAACATACCCCATTTCTCAGCTGAAGCGTGATTCCTTCTGTAAATCAGGCCCTGAAACTCTTGCAAGCAGCTGCCAATTCCAGTATCTGAAACTGGTAAAGAAACCAGCGGCATTATAGTTATGCTCTGTAAGATTTTCTCATTTTTGTAAGTGTTTCTCTTATCTTACACCAATTAGTGATCTACAAACTACACGCACATTACCACCTTCTTCGTCTACTGTACTCGAAGAAATTACTCTCTCTTCTATTTCACCATATTTCTTTTTGTAAACCTTCTCAATAATTGCATTGCAGAACTCTTCCAAAAAGTGCGGTTACTTTTTTTTTTTGGTATTGGTGGCACGCACCACTAATAAAATGTGCGATTACTTAAACCCTCTCAAAGTCTTCCTTGTCTCGGTGGCATTTATACCAACTTCATGAACTAAGTGAACTAAGGAACTTAAAGAATTCATAGACGTTGATTTTCATGGAGAAACAAGCTTTTATATATATATATATATATATATATATATATATTTTGCTCAGAATTCAAAAAAGTGGAAGCGGATTGAAATTGAAAAAAAAAAAAGACGTAAAATCGAATAAACCCCAGGAAACGAGATCATTACTTGAAACTCGAATGACAGGAGGATCGGAATCGGGACAGCGTTTAAGAACAACTGATAGTCTGCATAGTTGATCAGAGATCCGGCATCTTTGAACCGCTGAACAGATCAACTGAAAAGGAAAGGAAACAGTTTAGAAACCTTAGAACGATCTGGTCTTTTCTCTTATTCTTCAATTTTTTTCCTTGGAGATTATAACTCACAATTTGGCAGAGCCTTTGAGAACAAGTAATCTCCATCAGTTTTTCTTTTCTTACAGGGGTAGGGACTAGAGAGTGTATAACTCTATCTATATACATGCTCTGTAAGAAAATTCCCGCACAATTTTGTTGTAATTTATAAAAGGGTAAAAATGTAAAATATAAAAACCTCTCCTGAAGTCTCCCTTACAGTTTTATTTTAATAAATACCTCCCCTAAACTTTTGAGAAATTCAACAAAAACCTCCCTCTCTGTCATTGCCTAGGACAAAAAAATTTTAAATTGATGCACCAGTTTTTTACAAATATTCATTTTACCCTTTTATAAATTATTTTACATACAAAATTACTGGAATAATCCCATTTTAACTCTACAAAAAATATATTTCAGTAATTTTGTATGTAAAATTGCTGAAATGATTGTTAAAAGAGGTTTTTATTGAGTTAAAATGGGATTATTTCAGTAATTTTGTATGTAAAATAATTTATAAAAGGGTAAAACAGGTATTTAGAAAAAACTAGTGCATCAATCTAATGTTTTCTATTTGGGACAATGATAAAAAGGAGGTTTTTGTTGAGTTTCTTAAAAGTTCAGGGGAGGTATTTGTTAAAATGAAACTATATGAGAGATTTTTATGATTGTCAGAAACTTTAGGAGAGGTTTTTGTATTTTACCCTTTGTAAAAAATTTCAGTTGTAAGTCCTAACCAGTAAGGAACCAAGGATAGAACGATTGACGTTCCGATCTGCTCCTATCAAGCCACTACAGCTGCATATCGGGAATATCTTCATGGAACATTGTTGGGAGGCTTGTTGGTTGTAGATCTGGTTTCCAATCACTCATGGTCTAACTTCCTACTTACTGCTGGATTTATTTTTATGAATGAACCAATAAATTTGATGCTCGTTCTCTTGTGAATCCAGATTTTCTACTCACTTTTCCTATCTACTCTCTACCTATCGTGAATTATGGCTGTACATCCCTCAATTCATAAAAGAAATGTGCTGGGCGGATACAAAATGAATGGGAAATCCCGAATGTTCTCTTGTTTGGTTTGATTCTTTGATTGGAACTAAGAAATAATAGAAAGTGAGTAAATTTTGACACAGCCCAAGACAATGGACTGATTACCCAAAAAGACGAGGGGCGATTATAGGCCGGCCAGGGATTAGACCTTATTATACTTTGGTTTCAACTATTATACGAGAAATAACAGCGAAAAATTTTACGACCAATCAACTAATATGATAATCATGATAACCAATATTTACCAAAATTTTAGAATTCATGGGTGAGCTTTAAAGTTCTTCCTGTGCATAGACCTTAATAAAAATGACGGAAAATAGTAATTATTTATGTGTTAATAAGATATGTTTTAGAACCAAAATCATCTTTATGAAATTTAACTGGACATAAATATAACAAAACTTACGAGAAAACTAGGAAACATTTATATATTAATGGACTTGGGTCTGAATAGGTTCAGAACAGAAAGAACTCGTCCAACTCAATTATTTATTAGGGAAAACCATAAAACCAGAAAATAGTCACCTAATTGCTTGGTTTTTGAATCATCGTTGACTTGGATGGGATCATTCGGCTCATGAACTATTCAGACAACTGGTTTAATTTTACCTTAAACCCGGTTTCTGGGCAAAACCGTTGAATTGGTCAACAATTTGTTGACTCGTTCAACCCATTCAATGGTTTTTTACCCCTTTTTTAGTTTAATTATTTTTTATTTTTTTTTGTCAAAATAGGTCATCCGTTCAAATAATCAAACCGAATGGTCAAACTATCGACCCATAAAATCGGTGGCTAGAATGGCTCTAATTCCGAGTCATTTTTTAAAGGGTAAATTTCTTAAACTACCCTTATGATTTAACTAATTGACTAAATGTATCATTACTATTTGAAAATTGACTAACACTACCCTTATTATTTTTAACAATTGACTAACTCTTCCCTTGTGAACATAAAGGCAAAAAAAATTATTTTATCTTTATTCTTCTTCAAATTTTCAAAATAAAACAGAAAAAAAGGAAAAGAAACACTGAACTGAACTCAGTGATTTCAGCACTTACATCCCTGTAATTTTTGCACCTAAAAAACCCTTTCATAACATCGGATTCTGCAGAATCTATGGTTTGTCGTCGCTGTGACGTCTAGCTCGAGTTTGGGAGTTTGAAGACGATGGTGAACAATGATCTAAAAATGCAAAAATAAATGAGGGAAGGGGTGGGAAAAAAGACAGGGAAGAAAGAGACAGAGAGGCGGCGAACCAACGACACCCTTCTTCGAACACTGAAAAGTGAAGACGCATCTGCACACAACGGCGAACCAGCGGCACCCCCTTCTCGCTCCGGCGGCGGCGATGACCCCTCTTTGAACGAAAACAAAGGGGCGGCGAACCAACAACACCCCTCTTCAAACACTGAAGAGTGAAGACGCAACTGCACACAGCAACGAACTAGCGGCACCCCCTTCTCGCTCCAGCGGCGGCGATGATCCCTCTTCGAACGAAAACAGAGGGGCGGCACCCGAAGCAGCGACAACACTTTTCTCTTCGATCTCTGTTATTCTCTCACACTTTTTTTTTCTTCTCCTTCTCTCCTCCGTATCCTCTCTCTTTTTACTGTTTCATCATCACCACCCACTGTTGCAACTAGCAACTCATTGTTGTAGCGACAGATCTGAACACGACAAATAACCAAAGATTAACAAGAAATGAAAAGACGTATTTTGAATTAGTACTAATCTGAGAGTAAGAGAGAAATAGAGGAAGAGAGAAGGGAGATAGACGAGAGACAGAAGGGGAGGTTTGAGAATGGAGAGAGAGACCGGAGAGAGATAGAGGCAGAGGGGGAGGTCTTAGAAGAGAGAGAGAGTGGGTGGGGATGATAGAGGCAGAGGGGGAGGTATGAGGGTAATATTGGGTTTTAAAAAAATTGTATAGGTCACGTGGGGTCACATGTGCATAGATTGTGATGGAGCATTAATGAACGTTAACGGTAAGGGAAGAGCCAGCCAATTGTCAGAAACAGTAAGGGTAGTGTTAGTCAATTTTCAAACAATAAGGGTTAATCAATTAGCTAAACCATGAGGATAGTTTAAAAAAATTACCCTTTTTTAAAACATTGCCTAATTGGTTTAAAAATATTGTTTTCAAAATTGGATCGGACCGGAAAAACTAGGAACCAGTCACTTGACCGGTTTCGTTTTCCTCCAAAACCGCTTTTCCCCCAAAACCATTGATTATGGTCAGCAAACCGCTGAACCGATTAGTTAACTATTCGAACCGTTCAAACGGTTTTGACCGTTTTCCAATTATTTAATTTTTTTTGTCAGAACGGGCCGATCGTTCGAGTCAAATGGTCTGATCGTTCGAACCGGTAACCGGATCCCTGACCGATTCGATCACCAATTCGTGTTTAAAAACTACGTTTAAAAATGTTTCTCAACGTTTTTTTTTTTTTTAAATAGTTATCAACGTTTTGATTCTCTATTTTTGTAGGGTCATTCATGGTTTGAAAATTCTATTAACCTAGTGAACCGCTTAATCCAAGAAAATCACATAACTAGTTTTGTTTAACATTTAGCCCAGAATTTTCTAGAAATATATTGATGGTTGAACTACTGAACCATGCAACGTGAATAATTTTGAGTCAACTTTATAGTCATTTACCGAGAAACTCCCTATAGTTTTATGTATTCACTAAAACCTACTCTATAATGTGTTTTACTGAAACACTCCCAACGGGGATTTATGTAGAAGACAATGTGGGCAATTGCCCCCACTGAAATTTGAAAATGTTTTATATACATATAAAGAAATTTAATCTTTTTATAATTGCTCCCATTCAAATAAAATTTGACATCATAAATAACATTTTTTTTTCATGATTTTAAAATGCCTAAAAGGTGCGGCCAGAGGTGTGCCCCATTTATCAAAGGTCCGAGATCTGCCATTGCTATTGACACTTCCTATAGTTTACAACCCCTTTACTTAATTGACAACTACTTGGGAATGGTCATGTGACCCTTTAAAATGAGTGAAAATATCGAATGGGCATGGTTGTAAGTTTTTCTAGTATCATACTAATTGATTGTAAGTTTTTCTAGTATCATAGTTGAACCTTATAGAGTTTAGTAAAGGGAAAATTCCATATTAGTACCATGTGCTTTGAGTATAGTGTTATTTTGGTTCCCAAACTTTAAAACATGTTAATTTAGTACCTAAATTTCCAAAATATGCCAATTTAGTCCATGTTGTTAACCAACCGTTCAGACCATTGTTAAAAAACACAAATGCCCATCAGATATCATCTAATTTTCTTTATGAACCATCTGTTCCTTCAAGAGCACGATGGTTCCTGGATTGGCACCATGGGTCATCTTTGTGATGTATAACGCGTAGTGAGAATGCAGGGGAAAGTCTTTGCCTTCGGTTGGGGCAGGCGTGGGTGAAGAGAAAAGATTTTCCCCTGCTTCCACCTTCTAGGAAGGAGGAAGATGGCACACCATGGATCGTCTCTGGGATGTGAATAACACGTACTCCATTCCATGAAATGTATCAATTCATCATCGCTCCCCTCATTAACCAGTTTGAGGCTGAATCTGATGCAACCATTTCGCTATGGTCGTTGCCATAGACCCAATAAGCATAAAACAGATCATTCAAAACCATGTGAAGAGTATTGCTTGTGTGATGATCATTTTATTTATTTATTTATTGTTAATTTAAAACAATGTAAAACTACATAAAAGTCTTATTTTTCTTGGAGAATGATGGTTCAGCCCAAGATCAGATTTTGTAGACTCAAAGTACCGTTAAGGTTGGTATTAGGTTGGATTGATGCCATTTCACGGGCGGCATTGGTGTATATAAAATATGGATTATTGACATTTTGAATGTTTATTACTCTACAATAAAAATAAGAAATCTGCATTGGACCTGTTTTTTTCATATTTTTTTTTATATTTATTTGGAAACCGTGTGCAAATACAAATCATTGGTGGAAGGTGATTAGAAACCTGAACTCCGGGAGGAATATAGACGGATTATCCCCATAATCATTCT